TTAAGATTATTTCTCAAAATTGTTTAGAAAGTTTTAAAGAAATTATGAATAGTATCATATGATATAATAATTAATTTTTAATGTAACTGATTCATATATAGCTTAAAATTATTTTCTATTTAGTCTAGAAATGTAAATAATGCCTTTAGAAATGAGATGTGACATTAATAGATTGCATTACTTGTGTGATGGCTTATGAGAAATGTGCCATAAGATAGAGTGGCAGCTAGATGTGATAGAGAGGTAGATACTGAGAGGAGGCGAGATAGTATGGGGAGATTCTCATTCCCTTTATGTCCGACTGGTAGAATTTTGAAGAAGCCTGGGTTTAGTTTTGGTAGTTCTAGCTCTTCGAGAAGGAGAAGTTTTAGTAGAGGATCCCAGTCTTGACCTGTGCAAAGAAGGTGAATGCAGATAAGTGGGGGGTATGAGAATTAAACCTCCACAATTTTCAAGGCAAGCATCAAATGTTCTAGTTCTGACTCTAAATACTGGAAGGATGCCTCAGTGTAAAATATACGACTGACCTCATCCAGGAAGATGTTGGGCTTGCTTTAATTATGGCAAGTCAGGACATATAGCGAGATAGAGCTCGAAGGGTAGAGTTGAAGGACTGAGTAGAGAACTGCAATTCCTTGCTAAGTATTTGCAGTCATGCAGGAAGAGGCTAGAGCGTCTCTAAACTTGATCAAAAGTATGATTTTTGTTTGTGATCTCTGAGTAAAGGCATTGTTTGATTTGAGTGTCACTCATTCCTTTGTGTTTGAGGAGTATGTGGATAGATTGAATTTGTCATTGCAAGAGTTGCCTGTGCTCATTAGAGTGACGATGCCTTTTGGATAGTCTAGTATCACTTGTAAAGCTTGTCAAAGTATGGAGATTCAATTTGACGATATAGTTTCTAAGATCAATTTTATTTGTGTTCTTATGAAAGGAATAGATGTGATCATTGGCATGGATTGGTTAGCAATGAATAATGCTATGCTTAATTGTGCCAAAAAGGTAATTTTACTACCGATGTTGTCTGCAGCGATAACTATTTCTAAGCAGCCTAAGTTGTTACCAGTAGTTAGTGCTAAAAAGTTAATCCGACAAGGTAGTGATGTATATATGGTATTCTTTGTAGCTAGTATGGTGTAAGATAGTGGAATCAAGAAGATTAGGGTAGTAAGTTTTTAGAGGTATTTTCCAATAAAGTGATTGGATTACCTCCTAGAAGAGAAGTAGAGTTCTCTATTGATGTAGTTCTTAAAATCGAACTAATATTAAAGGCCCCTTATAAAATGTCGCTGTTAGAATTGGCTAAGTTAAAGAAGTAGATTGAAGACTTGCTAGACAAAAGATTCATAAGACCAAGTGTATCACCTTGGGGATTGCCAATGTTGTTTATGAGAAAGAAGGATGATAGTTTGCATCTTTGCATCAACGATTGACAGTTAAACAAGGTAAATATAAAGAACAAGTATCCTTTCCTAGGGATAGATGATCTTTTCAATCAATTAGCTAGTGCTTCAGTCTTCTCTAAGATAGATTTGAGGTTAGGGTACCATCAATCAAGATTTAGTGCTATGGATGTACCTAAGATAGTTTTCAAAATTCGATAAGGCCATTATAAGTTTTTGGTTATGCCATTTGGTTTGACCAATGTGCCTATAGTGTTCATGGACTATATGAATCATATATTTAAGTTGTACTTGGATTAGTTTGTAGTGGTCTTTATAAACGACATCCTGATCTATTTTAAGAATGAGGAGCAACATATGAAGTATTTGAAGACGATGCTTTAGATTATAAAAGATAAGAAGTTGTATGCCAAACTCAATAACTGTGAGTTTTGGCAAAGAGAGGTCTAATTTTTAGGACACGTGGTATCTGTAGATATAATTTTTATGGATCTACATAAGTTTGATGCAGTATTAAAGTGGGAGCATCCTAGTTCAATCACAGAGATACATAGTTTCTGGGATTAGCTAGGTATTATCAATAATTTATTTAGGGATTTTCCCAGATAGCTTCTTCTTTGACTAAACTAATATGGAAAGATCAGCCTTATATTTGGGATGATCGGTGTGAAATGGCATTTCCACATCTGAAAGAGAAGTTAGCAACAACACCGATGTTGATTATTCCTAATCTAAGGTTACCTTGTAAAGTGTACACAGATGCATCGTTGAGAGGTCTTAAATGCGTCTGGATACAAGACAGTCGGGTTGTAGCTTATGCTATATGATAGTTGAGACCACATGAAGAGAACTATTCTACACATGACTTAAAGCTCGCAGCAATAGTGTTTACTCTAAAGATTTAGTGCCATTACCTGTATAGTGCAGTGTTTACGGTGTTTAGCAACTATAAGAGTTTGAAATACCTGGTGGATAAGAAGGAGTTCAATATGAGGTAGAGGAGATGGATGAAGCTTCTTAAGGATTATAATTTTGAATTGAAATACCATCTAGGTAAAACTAATGTGTTAGCTGATGCCTTGAGTTAAAAGACTTTGCATGTGGCAAGCCTTATGGTTAAGGAGTATAGATTGATGGAATTATTTGTTGAGTCATAGCAGGATGCACCATTGAAGGCATTAGTTGGTGCTTATTTTACAAAGGTCAGTAATGATTTCTAGAAGAAGTTGAGAATGGCACAACTAGAAGATGAAAATCTTCTGATGATTATAAAAGAAAAGCGAATCAAGCCATTGATTTTAGTTTCAATGGTGATGGATTTGTCGTCTATTAAGATAGAATTTGTGTGCCTGATGATCTAGATCTGAGGAAAGTCATCTTGAATAAAGCTCATTATAGTAAGTAAACGATCTATCTAAGAGCTACAAAGATGTACCAAGATATAAGGCGGTATTGGTGGTGGCCTGGTATGAAGAGAGATGTTATAGAGTTTGTGACTCGGTGTTTGACCTATCAGTAGTAAATATGTGTTTTTGGTTAAATTGGACCAAGTAATTAATTTGTGCCAAATGTATTCAAATTGGCATATTAAGTGTGTGAGTTGAGAAAAGAAACTTGTGGCCCATTTTCCAACTTGATTTTCCTAGTTATAATGCATGTAATAGATGAGATAGATGTCTATGATTTATTTTCACTGCGTATTCTCTGATGCATTATGGCCATGTTTGGTATGTAGTATTGAGGGGTTGGGTTTGACATTGGTATTGGGAAGGCCCAATTTAATGTGTTTGGTATGAGATATTAAGTCATACTTGGGTTTGCTTAAACCCACTCAGATGGGATTGCTTAAACCTATCTCTCCTATGGTATTGAGAAATCAAACCTAGGTTTGTTATATTTTATGACAAAACTACCCATGGTAATAATAATTTTTAGACAAGAGTGCCCCTATCATATTTTCCCTAATAAACTTTGTCTGTCTCGCATACCTGAGTCAGATACCTCAGATGCCATCTCTATTTTTGACTTGCACCATCGATCTCACCTATCGCTCGTCCATCTCCTTCATCCTGCCGTTAGGTACTATCACTTATCCATCTCCTTCATCCATCTTCTGTGTTTTTGGGTTTTTCTTTTCCCTTTAATATATTTTTTTTCTTCATCTTCACTCCGTCAAGTATTGTTGCTACTGATTCTGATTGTTTCATCTGTACTCTTCATTTTTCCAGCTAGTCTTCACTTTTTTCTTATTATCTAGGATAAGATGACATTCAAGGGAAAGGTGCGGGTAGAAGGGACATACCATTTGAAGAAAATGACACTCTAATGCATAAGAAATGGATGCTTAAGAAGTTAATGGGAAAACAGTGGTCTTTCTGATAACAGTGGTAGAAAGCAATATCATGACAGTGGTCTTTCTATTAATAGTGGTCTCACTACCAAAAGAAAAGAAAGGGTAGAAAGCAATATCACAAAATCTACTAATAGTGGTCTTTCTGATATGTTTGCTTTACAGCCTTCCTATGCATATGCTCCTCAACCTTCCTTTTCAGAATTAAAAAAAGAGAAAAATAATAAACACAATTATGTTTCTGCTTAGACTTCCTATTAAGCTAGTATATAAAGTACATACACACCCTTATATGATCAAGCACATTTCTTGGATTTTCAATTTTAGAATTTCATAATCAGCACTTCAAGTGATGAACAAAGCACAAATAAAGAAAATAATCTCCTTTGACAAATAACTCTGGATGCATCTCCTTAAGCATATTTTCAATGCAAGATTGATAAAAAAATGTTTAGGAAATTTTTGCCTATTTTGATGCTGCATTAGTATTAGTGGTATTTTATCTTTGAGATGAACTTTTATTGTTAATTAATAAGGCAATAGAGTGATTGAAAATCCTATATATTATAGAAATTCATTGACCTATTATCCTAGTTTACTTAAAAATGATAGATAAAGTTATTGGTATTTTTTTTATATGAAATTTTTTTTATAACTTTTTATAATTATCAATCAAAAGAATTTATATATTTTAGTTGTTATTATAATTTTATTGAAGAATGTTGTCATTGTGATTTAGTGTTAACCATTAATTAGTTTTATTCCATTATATATGTTAGATATTAATCTTTTATATATCTGTAAAATTGGTACATAGTTATGGCACTATCTGAAGAAAAGAGAATACTTTTATGTTTGTTTCTCTTCTGGATGAGCATGACTAAGGCAGTGTATGCGTTTTGTATTTGTATGTGTATGACTATCATGCTAAGGAGGGGAAGAATCAGACATGTACCTTACAAAATGGATTTTATTGCTAAGAGATCTTATCTAAAGAGAATGATGTCTAGCAGTGATGTAGCATGTTACAACTTACTTAGAATGCATAGATCAACATTTGATAAGTTATATGTTCTATGCTAACGGATGTGGGTGGTCTTAAACCTAGTAAGAACATGTTTGTAGATGAACAAGTTACCATGTTTTTACACATACTAGCTCATCATGTAAAGAATAGAGTAACACAACATAACTTTGATAGATCAGGAGAAACTATTAGTAAGTATTTCAACTTAATTCTTACTAGTATGATGAGACTTGGAGATATGTTATTAAAGAAACTAGAGCCTGTGCCCGAGGACTCTAACGATAAAAGGTGGAAGTGGTTTGAGGCAAATACACATGATGTATTTATCATTATTTGTTAAAGACATGTGAATAATTTATGTTAACTTGTATTCGACTTTGCTATTTTACAGAATTGTTTAGGTGCCTTGGATGGAACTCACATCAAGTTGAGAGTTCCTTCTCTTGATAGGCAAGATATCGAAATAGGAAATGAGATAAATATAAATGTATTGGGTGTTTGCTCACAAGATGGTTTCTTCATATATGTTTTGCCTGGGTGGGAAGGGTTCGCAATAGATGGACGGGTTCTTCATGATGCCATAAGTAGAAGGAATGGTTTGAGAGTTCCACGAGGTTACTATTACTTGGTTGATGCTGGGTATACCAACTGTGAGGGATTTCTTGCACCATATAAGGGCAAAGATACCACTTAAGTGAATGGAGAGAAGGGCAACATCCTAGAAGTACACAAGAGTGCTTTCATATGAGACACTCTTTTCCATGAGATGTAATTGAACGATGCTTTGGCATTTTAAAGTTAAGGTGGGCTATTCTGAGAAGCTCATTATTTTATCCTGTTCGAATGCAGAACCGAGTTATAATTTCTTGTTGTCTCCTACATAACTTAATTTGACAAGAAGGTGTGGATCTACTTGAAAATGAAGTTCAAGAAATGGGTGTTGATGTGGACGGCATGGAAAATACTCCAATTCAAAACATGGATGCTTCTGATGAATGGGCTACCTTTAGGAATACTCTTGCTAATGAAATGTTCACTGCTTTTGCTTCTAATAGTACATTTAGATGAATTAGTTATTTCATTTGAATATTATTGTTTGTTTGAATATGTTAGTTTCCTTTGTTTGTTTGAGTGTGGTGTATGGTATGATAGAACATGAATTATTGTCATGTCCTTAATAATACATGGTTTATTCCTTAATAATAATATATTCTTATATTGTTATTTATGTTATTGTCAAGTTCTAACATTTTCTTCTTATAGTTGAACAAACATGTCAAGCAAGTCTGGAAAGTTGGATAAGCACATGTGGACACCTGAAGAGGATGAGTTGCTAATCCAGTGCATGATGGCACTACATGATAAGGGTGAACTTGTCTCTGACAATGGTTTAAGACCACGTGTGTTGAATACTTTGAAGGATATGCTTGACGGTTTGATACCTGGAAGTAGTATTAAGGCCCATCCCCACATCCAGTCTAGGGTTAAAAAGTTAAAAATTAACTATGGTGTGGTTTCTGATCTTCTTAATTTATCTGGTTTTAGTTGGGACGTTGAAAAGAAATGTGTGACAACTCCTAAGTCTGTTTGGGATGAATATGTTAAGGTAAATTTTTTTATTGATTTGGATCTGTTTCTGCTGTTAAATTCTATTTTTGGTTTTGCATCTAGTTTCTATTAGTGTCAGTTTTTGGTTTTTTCTAATAGCTTCTGGTTCTACATTTAATTTCTATTCATTTCTTGTTAAACACTTCTGTTATTTTTTGGTTTTTAACTGCTGTTGTTAAATTTTGTTTTTGGTATTTTATTTCTGTTAGTTTCTAATTTTTAATTGCGACTATTAAATTCTGTCTTTGGTTTTTTATTTCTGTTAGTTTCTAGTTTTTAATTGCTGCTGTTAAATTCTGTCTCTCTCTGGTTTTTTTATTTCTGTCAGTTGCTAGTTTTTAATTGCTGCTGTTAAATTCTATCTATCTCTGGTTTTTTATTTCTGTTAGTTTCTGATTTTTAATTGCTATTGTTAAATTTTGTCTATCTTTGGTTTTTTTGTTTTTTGTCAATTTTTGGTTTTTAATTACTACTGTTAAATTCTATCTCTATTTTTTATTTCTATTAATTTCAGTTAATTTCTAGATTTCAATTGTTGTAGTTTTTCTTCTAGTTTTTACTACTGTTTCTATTATTTAATTTCACTTGTAGGTGAACAAGGAGACTGCAAAGTGGAGGAATAGGACTTTCCCTCATTATGATGAGCTGTCCAATATTTTTGGGAAGGATAGGGCAACTGGAAAAGATGCTCAAGTATGTGAAGATGTTCTTGAAGAGATTCATGATCAAGATGATTATACTTCGCCTATAGAAAACACTCCTATTAAGCACATTCCAACTGAATCTTACATGAATGTATCACATGGGAATACTTCCCCACAAGAGAACTCTCCAACTGAGGTGTCCCCGTCTGATGCAATTTCAGGTGCAAAAAATAGGAAGCGAAATAGCAATGAAGATCAACCTTCCATACTTGAAGGCATGAAAATGGTTGTTCAAACATTAGCTAATGGATTAAAGGAGTCATTTGAGCGTTTGGGCATGCATCTTGATAGAGTTGAATGTGAAAAATGCATTGATGGCATGAGGTCATCTCTCCTCGTTGAGTTGAAGAAGGTTGAAGGACTTTCCCACCAAGAACGTCTTAAGGCATATGTGAAGATTATTGGTTATGAGAATATGCTGATTGGCTTTTACTCCATACCTGAAGAGGACAAGGCTGATGTGATTCACGAAATGATAGCATAGGTTATTATTGGTGACTCAATATTTTGGTGTAAGATAATCTTTCAGATGTAATGTTGTGTTTGGATATTTAATTTTTTGTGTTAGATATGGCATACCTTACTTGGGTGCCTAGACATATGAGCAATACCATTAATTGTATTTTATTTCAAAGTAAGATACAGAGTATCTTTCTTTCTTGAACTTATTAATTATAAATATATACAATTGATTGTATATCTTACATGATTATGGGAATATAGTAGGAAATTATACACTTCTTTTCCTTTTTGAAAAATTTATTTACCTTTTCATAAAGAGAGAATTGCATTCGAAATTAAGGATTGATTCTTTAACTTCTACGTATCACTCCTCACTAATATTTTAATAACCATATTTCAGCATGGTACCATGATTATGGGAATATTGTAAATGCATATGGTATTTTTTTATAAATGCATCTGAAAGTGTAGTATATCCATGCAACCTATGTAGTTATTTTTGGGGGTTGTCAATATTATGTAAATGCATGGATGATGATGCTTGTACACTTGCTCTACATATTCAAGTTGTAAATACTAGTATAAGCCCTGTTGACAGTGAATGAATAGGCAGTTGTCATTCCCCCTACCCAACTTGTCATCCCCCCTTTCCTAGTTGTCATTCCCCCTTGTCCAGTTGTTAACGATAATTGTCTAAATTAAAAAGGCCTTGTTATACCTAGAACATAGTAAGTTGTGAATGCACCTCACCTAGTTGTCATTCTCCCTACCCAACTTGTCATTCACCCTTTCCCTATTGTCGTTCCTCCTTTTCCAATTGTTAACGATAATTGTTCTAATTAAAAAGGCCTTGTTATACTTAGAACACAGTGAGTTGTGAATGCACCTCACCTAATTGTCATTCTCCCTACTGAACTTGGCATTCCCCTTTGCCCAATTGTTAATGATAATTGTTCAAATTAAAAAGGCCTTATTATACTTTGAAAATAGTGAGTTGTGAATGCACCTCACCTAGTTGTCATTTTCCCTACCCAACTTGTCATTTTCCCCCTCTTTCCCTGTTGTCATTCCCCTTTGCCCAGTTGTTAACAATTATTTTTCCAATTAAAAGTTTCAACCACTGAACACCATGACAGAAGCATTAAAAATAGTAATGACTATTGAAATTAGCATTTACAAAGTGAAATATTCACAATTATAGCTTTTACAAAGGTGATGACACTGTATAATCAAGTAAGTACAACCACTGTACATTTACAAAGCAAGAACATTTACAAAGTGCAATTTCACAGTTAGCTCTACCCTGATTTTATCCTAAATGATATGCATAGCTTGAGTAGCCCTTCTATCTTCTCTTCTTGTCCTTGTGGGGTCCTGATAATATAGACATCGCAGTGGGTTCCTTCTCATTATTGTGATGATTGACAAGCCACCACAATAATTTGACCTTCATATGTCGAAGGTCATCCTGCAGGAACAAAAGAGTCACATTAGAAATATCATGGGTTTATAAAAGAGCCACAAGACATTTGTACGTCTGAGTATTCTGGCATCACATAATTGTCCTCATCCAAGTAAGTATTGTCCCAAGACTATAACCATGTGATGATGTGTACACCACACAAATGACTACAATCAAAATTTATGACAAAAGTACTAAATCAGACAACTTAATAACAACCACAGCAAATTGAAACATAAGCTAAATCCATCAACTAAATAACACTCACGTATCCTTTTGCACTCAAACTTTAAGCCAAATTACATCTGGCTTCATGTCATCGCTAAATAAATCTAGTTTAACAGCCATGAGTATTTGGTGAAAGCAGTCCCTTTACACAAAAGTTAACAATGTCTATTAACAACTATGCATAAGGAAATGACAAGTCAATATGAAGTGATTGACAAGTACAGACATACACAAGCCTGTGTTAGCTTTTTCTTCACATCCGCTTGTTCTTTTTTTCCTCTTCTTCCCAGCAAGCTTCTTGCCCTTTCTAATATTCTCATCCTCTTTCTTTCTTTGCTCATACTCAGAAATACTCACCAATGAATTCAAGACATAGAAGTTTTTTATCTTGGTCTCGAAGACATAGCACCACCAATGGCCAACAAATAGGGCAGAACAAAAGATGAAGTCATAATCTCCAATATTATATCCCAGTTACTTAGGCAGTATCTCTTTGCTATTAATAAAGTATAATAAAGAGTCTTCCAAATATGAACCAAGAGAGAGACATGGCCAATCACCACTAAAAGTTCCCATCGATCTATTCAATCGATCCGTAATGAGTTATCTTGTTTTGCTGAAGTTATATGCCATTGCCACTCCTTATAAATCACCTCTCCTAATAGTAAACCCCATTTTTGTTGGATGTATTATTTCCAAAGATCATCAGCTGAGCATCTCTTCCTCAAGATCACACATACTTCCAACATTATACACAATTTTGAAGGTGAAAGATGTTTTAGAATGCAGTCCAAGCTTGATTCTGGCAAATCCAAAAGGCAAACATTGCTTGCCTTTTTATTCTCCATGAGATGCAACTTCTCTCAAAGCGAGTTTCTAAGAGACTATAGCATGTAAAGGGGAGAAAGAACATAATACGGAATTGAATCACAACCCTTGCATTCTTTCAAAGCTTTTAACGAATAAAGAATATACTTTAAATTTTGTCTTCCTTATTTACAATTCACAACTATAGCTAATGCATTCAATTGAGAAGTGTAATCATCAAGTTATATGAAATATAAAATATTAGGAGTCCTAATTCTCTTAGTGTATAAAAGAACATTGCAGTTCACTTTAGACTATTCTTTTAACTTTTTCTTGCAATAGATATATTCACTTATATATCTTTTGTGTTCATTTTTGACTTTTTGTATCATTTCTCTCTATATTTTAATGTGGCTTGAGTGTTAAAAGGATAATTACAGACCCCAAGAAATTTTTAAATTATTATTTCTCTAACTGTATATGACTAAATGGCATGGAATAAAATATCTAGCTAATTAATAATAAAAATTAACATAAAAAATTGAAAATTCATATTTTAGCGTGAGTTGGAGAAAGATGTTCCAAGATTGAGTTTGGCAAATCCGGCAGACAAATCCTGCATCGGCTTTCCCCCATCTTCATGTCTTACTCTACAATGCACGCTGCTAGTAATAACTTGGTATTATACTATTGTATTTTTAGCAAACCTTACTAAATAAGAGGCATTGAAGGTGTATCAAACCCTAAATTCAGATGTGAAGGAGAGGTCTATCATAAAACAACCAAAAATTATTTTT